ACATATATAAATAGGCAGCAGAAAGGGTATTGCTCACGCAGGAGCTGCTGCTAACATCCATATTCCCCACTAAGCTAGAAAAAAGGAAACTAACTACCCTCTACCCGTAAGAAAAGGTCAAGCTGCTAACAGAATGGAATCAGTCAACAAAATCAATGAAATGAACCAACAAAAATAACAATGAATAAAAGTAAAACTGTAAATAACTTAGAATAATATTCTATGTCTTCCGAACACGTCCTCCGAACATGATTTATCGGGAATAATCCTCCAAGTATTTCGGAGTCCCACGAGTTCGACCCGATCAACGTACCGCCGGCTGAGATAACCTCGTATCATCCCCTCCCGGATCAGAGACCACCTTGTCCTCAAGGTGGATTGTCGGAAATGTCTTCTCCAACCAGCGGCGTTCCTCCCATGTGGCGTCTGTATCATTTCCTCCCGTCCAACGAACCAGCAATTCCTCAGTTATTCGGCCCTTCTTGAAAATTCTGCGCTGCCCCAGAACAGCTTCCGGCACCGCCATTGCTGCTTCGTCTCCAATACCTGGTGGAAGATCTGCCATTTCAGTCCCCAGCGTGCCGTGAAATGGCTTCAACAAAGAGACATGAAAGACGGGATGTATCTTCGATGTCTCTGGTAATGCTAACCGATAGGCCACTAGCCCAACCTTCTCGGTAATCTGAAAAGGACCATAGTAGCGAGCTGATAATTTCTGATTTCTCCTCCGAGCCACTGAACTTTGCCGATAAGGTTGAAGGCGGAGCAAGACCCAGTCCCCCACTTCAAAATTCAGATCTCTGCGCTTCTTATCAGCTTGATGTTTCATGCTTTATTGGGCCAGCCTTAAATTCTTCTTCAGTTGTTTCAAAAGTTCATCTCGCTCTCGGAGCATTTCGTCCACGGTACCAACCTTGCTGCCACCTGGAGTATAGGGCAAGAGCTCAGGAGGAGGCCTTCCGAACAGTGCCTGATAAGGCGTCATTTGAATAGCCGAGTAAAACGCCGTATTAAGTGAATATTCGGCCCACGCCAACAAGAACATCCAACGGTGTGGTTTGTCATAAGTAAAGGCTCTCAAATACTGTTCAAGCCCACGATTGACAACTTCCGATTGCCCGTCGGACTGGGGGTGATACGCCGTTGTGAAAGAGAGTTTCGTCCCACTTAGCTTGAACAGCTCCCTCCAAAATGTCGAGGTGAACACACGGTCTCGGTCAGTCAAGATGTTTTTCGGCATACCGTGCACCTTCACCAGCACGTCCATGAATACATGGGCCACCTTTGGGGCATCAAAGTCTGTCGGCAAACCTGCAAAACGTGTAAACTTAGACAAGCGGTCCACAACGACCATAGTAGCAGTGCATCCTTTGGACGAAGGCAGGCTAGTTATGAAGTCCACGTCTCACAATTCTGCACAAACTCCTGCACATCTTTTCGCATCCAGGGCCAGAAGAACGAAAATGCCAGCCTCTTGAATGTCCGCAGTACTCCGGCGTGTCCCCCAATTGGAGTCGCATGGTATTCTTGCAAGAGTAGGTTCTTCAAAGATGACTCATTACTCAAACAAAGCCTGCGCTTAAAATAGATTAATCCATCCACCACTTCATAGGATTCTGGCAGCTCTCCTTTCTTATGTAGTTCATGTAATTTCACCAAGTCCAGGCAGGTCTGGTTTTCCTGGCGGATGGTACTCATCAGCTCTGGTACCACACTCGTCAATGCCACAAATTCAGCGCCTGACTCATCCCTTCTCGACAATGCGTCGGCCACCCTATTGCTCGGTCCTGGTTTGTAGTCAATACGGAACTTGTACCCCAATAGTTTGCGGATATAAAAATGTTGGTCCGGGGTTTGGACAACTTGTTGTAGCAATTCCCTTGAGCTCTTTTGATCCGACCTTATCACAAACTCTCTTCCCAACATGTACTGTCTCCATTTTTGCACAACCTCGACGATCGCAAGCAACTCCTTGTGATACGTGGATGCCACACGTTGCCTCGGCCCAAGTTTTTTGCTAAAGTATGCGACCGGCTGTTCTTCTTGGTAGCCGTAACACCGGTGCCGTTTGCCATCAGCTTTTTGAGCTGTTTGAACGCTTCAGTGGCCTGCTCAGTCCAATCAAACCCGTCTTTCTTCAACAGCTCGGTAAGGGGGGCTGCGATTTGTGAATAGTTGCGCACAAATCGATGGTAATATCCCGTAAGTCCAAGAAAGCCCCGAAGCTGTTTGAGATTTCTCGGTCTTGGCCACACTTGCATAGCCTCAATTTTGGATGGGTCTACTAACAGCTTCCCGTTCTCAATGAAATGCCCCATATGTTCTATCCTTGACACCCCATAATTGCACTTACTTTTCTTCACATAGAAGTGGTTAAGGCTCAATAAGTTCAGAACGACTTCTAGGTGATCACAGTGCTGCAAGATGTCTTGACTATACACAAGTATGTCATCAAAAAAGACAATCACAAATTTGCGTAGAAACTCTGAAAATAACCTGTTCATGCAACTTTGGAATGTGGAGGAAGCGTTGGTTAGTCCAAATGGCATTACGAGAAATTCGTAGTGCCCTTCATGAGTCCTGAACGCTTTTTTATGAACATCCTTTTCGTGCATCCGAATTTGGTGATAGCCCGAGCGTAGGTCCAATTTTGTGAAAATTCGGGCTGATCCCAATTCGTCAAACAACTCGTCTGCCGCCGGGATTGGGAAGTGGTCTGGTACGGTGACGGCATTCAATGCGCGGTAATCCACGCAAAAATGGTACGATCCATCCTTTTTTTACTAATAGCACGGGTGACGAAAAAGGACTCCTGCTTGGCTGTATGATACCCTGATCCATCATCTCCCGAATTAACCTTTCGATCTCCGTCTTTTGGAAATACGGATACCGATAAGGTCTGACGTTCACCGGCGACACTCCCGGCTTCAAAAAGATGCGGTGGTCTCCCCATCGTCGTGGTGGTAACACTGTTGGAACTTCAAATACTCGTTCATACTTATGCAGCAATTCATTAATAGCCCCTGGAATGTTTGGGCCCATCTCTTCAGGCCCCACTTTCCTCACATGCCAAAGCCCACAATTCAAAGCATTCCCCAATTGACTCAGCAGCCTGCATATTTTGCAATTGTTGCAAAGAAATGGCTTTGACTAGTGTCTCTTCTCCACAGAGCAAAACTGGTTGATCATGCCACAAGAACTCCATAGTCATTTTACTGTAATCATGTGTGATCTTTCCCAACGATCTCAGCCATTTCACTCCCAAAACGATATCGTGGCCGTGAACGGCCAAGACGAATAAATCCACCGTGAACATGTGGTTTTGGACCCTCATTGAAACTTGGTTACAACGTGATCGGCATAGTAGGGAATCACCATTCCCTACGTAAACCCTGAAAGGATCTATGTCTGTTTGTGCCAAGCGTAGTTTCTCGGCAGTCTTTGGATGCACGAAGTTGTGCGTACTACCTCCGTCCACCAATACATCTACGTCTTGCCCTTCAATCACACCCTTAAGCCTGATCGACCTAGGAGTTGTTGTTCCCGCGAGGCTTTGTAATACTGAGACGTCCCCTTCAATCACCGCCTCTGCTTCCACACTCAATCCCTCGTCGTCCGCCTCTCCTTCCACACTCAATCCCTCGTCGTCCGCCTCTCCTTCGCTGGTTACCAACAACAAATATCGCCCGTTACAGCGATGACCTCGGGACCACTTTTCAGGGCAAAAATAGCATTCTCCTTTAGCGTCCTTCTCAGATTTTTCCGCCGGAGATATTCTTCGTATGGGTCTTGCCGGGGTTCCTTTAGGAGTAGCCAACAGTGGAGTTTTAGTTGGAGGCACATATGGTGTTACAGCCGCCGTCTGGGCTGAAGGATTAGCAGTGTTGGGTCGATTGCCTTGAGGAGCCCAGTTTCTTCTAATGGGGGTCTGTAGTTCGTCGTACTTAGCGGAGGTTTCTCGGGCCAGTGCAAATGCCCCATTCAGCGTCGTGGGCCTGTTGACCCGTAATTCCCTGCGGATCGGATCTTTTAACCCCGATATAAAAATCAAAATTAACGTATCTTCACTCACCCCTTCCACCTTATTCAGCAGCCGCTCAAATTCTGTTTGGTATGCCATCACTGTGGTGGTTTGTTGCAACTTTGATAACAATCCGAAATAATCCTCATACATCTCGGGGTCGAATCTGAATTTAAATTGCTCTTCGAAGTCAGCCCAAGTGTTGATCAGATTGTTCCTCTTCATTCTTCGAAACCATTCCACCGCCGCGCCGTCTAACATCAACCCGGTCACCTTCAACCTCTTTTCATCCGGGATTGAATTGAATTCAAAGAATTCCTTTGCCTTGAACAACCAGGTGTGCGGATCCGTCCCATCCGTCACGGGAGGGTCCATCTTGAATCGGTGAAACCTGGAGGAACCTTCATCTTCACTGTTGCCGACTAGCTTGTCGTGCCGAACATGAGACGCCTCTCCCTGATTGCTCTCCACCTTCTCGATCCGGGTGTTCAGCGAGTCGATCTTCTTGTGGACCGAGACAATCTCCTGGTGTATGGCTCCCTTCTGCACTTCTGAAAATTCCCAGAACATCTCTGAAAGTTTCTTTTCCATGGCTGCCGCAAGAGCCGCCGTGGAATTGGGATCGGGTGGTGTTGCCGCCATTCTCTCAATGAAAGCACCAAAATGTTAAGATATGACTTAACGGGTATCGCTTCGAGCCGATACACACTCCAACAATGACATTAAAGTAGATAATTTGCCAACAGGAAAGCTGGTTGACGCAGCCTTTGTGCAAGATTGGAAGGGAGTTGTGTTTGGGTTTTAATTCTCTACCATTCATTAAGGAAAAAACATATATAAATAGGCAGCAGAAAGGGTATTGCTCACGCAGGAGCTGCTGCTAACATCCATATTCCCCACTAAGCTAGAAAAAAGGAAACTAACTACCCTCTACCCGTACGAAAAGGTCAAGCTGCTAACAGAATGGAATCAGTCAACAAAATCAATGAAATGAACCAACAAAAATAACAATGAATAAAAGTAAAACTGTAAATAACTTAGAATAATATTCTATGTCTTCCGAACACGTCCCTCCGAACATAATGATTTATCGGGAATAATCCTCCAAGTATTTCGGAGTCCCACGAGTTCGACCCGATCGACGTACCGCCGGCTGAGATAACCTCGTATCAGAGTAAAAGTATGACTTTGTTGGTTCATACTCTCTCTCTCTCGCAAAATAGTTTTCTCACTTTGACTTCACAAAAATTAATAAAAGTGATGAAAAGATGTTCACAAGAGAAAAATATTTTGGACCACAATTTCTTTTTCAAAAAGGGTAAGTGAAATAGGGAGAATTATTTAGAGAAGGGTGAAAGGTAAAGTTAAAAAAAGGAAAAAAAAATAAAGGGAGCTTTATGTGGGATGGGGGAAGCATGTGCGCATAAAAGTTACTGTTGGCAACTTGGCATTTATTATTGCTCATGGTTTGATACCAGTTTGGGTGTCATATTATGACTTTGGAGTCCTACGATGCCCCGTTGGGCCCAGGAGTGGGTCATACTCCTTTCAAACCCCCTTATTCCCCCCTTGGATTTGATTCACAAATCCAGCGACGTGAGTGTAAGAACCATTTTGAGATCGGGGAGTGGTGTCAAGATCCAGCCTTTTCATAATTGCACTATTATTTTAATTTTTTCACCTTGTATAACCGTCTTTACATTTCGATTATCAAACTACTTACCAATGTAGTTAAAGTGAACAAGGCCAACAACATGTCTGCCTATACTCTAACTTGTGATAATGTGACAGCTTTCAGTGAGGAACTGTTTCATCAGAGGCTCAGTGGTGAGGTATGTCCAGTTACCGCCCGAAGGAGTCGACATCGAACTGCTTCACGATGCTACGAGGAGAGAAGCTCGTGGTGGATAAGTTCTCGGGGAATTATGTATCCGTACGTCTTTTGGGCCCGTGTATGTCTGCGTAATCTAGCTCTCTGAGTCTGTTGGAAGCAACCTATCTAATACCGCGTAATAGGGGTAATGTATGTTTACTCACTCTTCTCACACTACTTTTTTGTTGGATTTTACTGTTTCTTTGGTTTATCTTCCAAGTTTGTGAGTATCATTTTGATCTGCTTCATGTACAATTCACTGAACTGCTTCAGAGGATTCATTCCTTATCTAGAGATATTTCATCTTCACTCTACTTGAGATTTAGTTGGTGCAATCTTGCAATTTTACTTTCACCCACTTAAAAATTGTGATTTCAAGAAGTGACATTTTAGTGTAAACTGTTCGAAGAATTTCATAGTTTTCCGTGGTCATTTGAAGGGAAAATAGCCAGTCAAAAAAGATAACAAAATTGACAGGAGCGCGCAAGGAGTGAAAAAGAATTCAAATTCTCCATATTGAAATCTCTTAAAATTGAGAGATAGGCGTTTTCAAAAACAATTTTTGTGATGCAATTCATTGTTTTTAGAACATTTCTGTGTTGCAAATTTTCTTCTTTGATGTGCAATATCTATTTTAAGATTATTTTTTTAAGAGCCCAAACCTACTACGGAGTGGTACGGAGTAATATGCAGGGGATTAGGAATTGCCAATTTTACGAATGGAGCATCGTATGGCCATCAGGTCATCCCATGACATTGTTTAACAATGTCATGGGATGACTTGGGGAGCGTACGATGCTTGTGGGTGGGGAGCGTACGATGCTTGTGGGATCAAAAATCAAACAAAGGTTTCGTTGATCGAATACAAATTGAACCACTAAAAATAAGCTAAAATAGACCAGATCAATCCGGTGACGTAAGAGTTTTTTAAATTATGCTCTGTATTCTTTAATATTAAAAATAATACAGTATAATAAGAACAAGGTTGCATTTACTTTCTTATCACTAGGTTTTAGTGTGAAAACTTATATTGTCAAGCAAGATTTGAATGATATCAGATGATTTTTTAATTTTTTTCAAAAGTGGTCCATATTTAATTTTATACTCCCTCCGTTCCACAAAGCCCTTCCTCTTTCGTTTTGTTGCTTTCCACAAAACACTTCTACTTTCTATTAAAAAACACTTTTACCCCTTTTTTTTCATACTCTAGCTATCACATCTTACTTTTTCCCATCACATCAGGGGCAAAATTGGAAAGTCAACCAAAATTTCACTTTCCTTATTTTTCCCCAAAGTCAAACCGAAAGGGTTTGTGGAACGGAGGGAGTATTATTCATAATATTGTTAAATGTACCAACAAATTAATTAAAAATCAAAATAAAATATTCTGAAGTTTTGATATATGTATTTTGATAATTTGTTACCCCCTTCATCCTAATTTAAATCACTTGTTTTAGTTTACAATGTTTATTGAAATTTTTTTCAAATATTTTATATGAAAAAAAGTTTATAATGAAAATAATAAAAATTACATATTTAAAAACTATATAAAAAAATATAGAAAACTAGTAGAGATATTACTATATTATTTTGTCAAATGACTAATAAAAATAAGTAAAGAAATTAAATAAAGTTTAATCACATAAATAATAAACAAATAATTTTATTTGGAACAGAGAATAATTTTTAATGCAATGAATTTGCATATTCTAAAACTAAATCCCATGACTCATTTGATCAACTTGAATTATTTTTCATATCATTTTCTTTTCCTTTTCTCTTAAAATATTTGAACCAAACATAGTGTAGAGATTACTTAAAAATTTTCGGATATGATTCCTAGTTTTTATCCATTCCTGATGATGCGAAAGATAACATTAAATTGATGAAATATTTGCACTAAATAGCACTAAATCTTAAATCATTTCTCTAAATAGCACTTAAACTGTTTTATTTTCTAAATAATACTTGATCATGTCCATAATGTTAGTGATGACGAATATTTACTTGAATAATGACTAATGAATAATGTCTAAAAGTGCTACATTTTAAAAAAATACATGTGATGTTATTTAAAAAAAATCATTATATTTTAGTGCTATTTAAGTAAATTACGCCAATCCCCAAAGAAAAGAAATTCTTTTACGAGACAAAGAGAGTAAAAAATTAAGAGAATGACCAAAGTTTTAGTGAGATTCCTTCACTAGAGTTTTTAGCAAATTCCGCTACATCAATCAAAACACAGAATTATAATGTTATTAAACTCAAACCGGTCGGGCGACCAGCACCCACTTGGTCCGAAGCGTTTCCAATTTTATTCCAAGTCTACCCGATTTGACCGAACCATGCCTGGCTCTCGGGTCGTTGACATGGAAATATGTACTTAAAAGTAATTTTATCTGCAACAAGGGTCCGTTTGGTATAAGGAATTGGTGGAATTGGAATTGAATTGGAATTGAAATTCCATGGGATTCAATTCCATAGAATTGAATTCTGTCAATTTTAATTCATTTTTTGCACTATCAATTCCAAATCCACATAATTTTTGTGCTACCAAACACCAAAATTGAAATTGAAGTCCCCAATTCCAATTCCAATTTTTGTGCTACCAAACATTTTCTTTATCGAACTTCTAGCTAATAACATCGACCATTGAGAATAGCTAATTCAACTAACCATTTAAATCAACCAAAGGCAACAGCTAACCACCAATTCCCAAAGCATTTTAACCAAGTAAATTGGAATTTGTATACTACCTCCGTCCAAGAGTATTCGTTCAATTTGACTTTTTCGAGTCAAACTGTACAAACTTTGAACCTTAAGTAAAAACTATATAAGATACATTAGTATAAAAACGATTTTAATATATTTAACTTGTTCAAAACTTTAAAAAATTTATTTCATTCTATTAATATGCAACACAAATTGAGAGTAATTGATGATTAAAGTTTGTTCAGTTTGACTTGAAAAAGTCAAATTGGACGAATACTCTAGGACGGAGGGAGCATTAGTTATGGAGACAAGTTCAATTAATTAGCCAATGCTGAAGAAAGTATATTAGGATGTTACACCCCACGTTTGGGCATTGTAAGCTTTTGCCAAATATAATAAAGACTTCAAAATTTGGCAAAAAACGTATATGAACACATGTATATATATAGTACAAACTCCGACGTACCTCTTCTCTAAATATATTTCATCCCCGAAATATATTGCTGTCTGGATATCCAATACTGAGCTAGAGAATATACAACCCCAAGGAGTCCCAATATCTTGACCTTGACTATGTCGGTTATCAGCACCGAGGGCAGGTTGAGGGGGATGGTCAGCAAGGGCAGCATGTCGGGTTGCTTTGCGTAGCTCCACACGAAGCGGTTGAAGAGGATGTGGCTGGGAAACGTGAGGATGAGTAAGGCTAGGTTCTTCACCGCGAAGAACCAGATGGGCCCGCCGATTTCCAGCCCCCACCCAGTGTTTGCCTGCCAGGCGTCCTCCCAGACGCTATAAACGGCGGTCAACACGAGGTAGGACGAGATGGAGGCCGTGACGGGGAAGTAGCGTTGCTTGTCTCCGAATCCGGCGACCAAATCGGAGTCCTGGTTGATGAGGAGCAATATGGGCGCAAGGAAGAATATGGACCGGGTCGACCCGCCCGTGAGACTCGCGTTCAAGATGAGGCATATCGAGAAGCAGAGTACGGTAGCCACGTTGCCCACCGCGGGCATCCAGGCGCCCTCGGCTGCCATTCTCTTTATGGTGAAACTGGGAACAGTAGACGCCCTCCGTTGCTGCATGAACCTTAATCTGGGAGGGACACTTGCGGTCTCCCCAGAGTGGCTGTGTCTCAACCCACCGCTCCTTTCAGGTGCTTTGTCTCGGATTAGTGAAGCCAGTTCAAACTTCACCTCAAGAGCTATAAGCATCAAGATTGCAGCATATAAGCCAAGAAGAGACGTCCGTGCACCTTCGACAGCCAAATATGTGGCCAGCTTGCTGTCTTCCTCCCCCATTTCTCCAACACTGTTTTTGTTAATTCTCACCTCACCCTCCAACAAATATGTGACCGGGAAGAGAGCCATGTTTAGAGCAAATATCCACGGCAGGTGTTTTGTGCTTGACGCGGAAGGGAAATGGGTGAAGACCACAAATACAGAGGTGCAGATCATGGTAAGAATGATGAGTGGATGTAGGATTGCTGGCTGGGGGAAATATACTGCAGATATGTAGATGCCAAGAGTAATTCCCATGGCGATAGCGTAAAAAGTTCTTAGTTCAACAATGTACTTGATGGGTATGATTGAGGTGACGGCAGCCAGTGTGAGTAAGAGAGCCGCAATGAGCAACCATGACGGCCATGTCGGCTCTGATGAAATGAACCCATAGATAGAAATGTCGTCAGCGGATTGACGGGCAGACTTTATGAGATCAGAGTGGTAGTTCAATGAAAAAGGGATAGGTGGCTCCATCAAAATGAACAACAGGCCAGTAGCTAACACCAGCACCATGCATCTCTTGGTGAGCTGCATAGAAAAAAATAAATTCCTAGTTAATGCGAAATTGCTTAGGGGAAAAAAATTGGAATAGAAATTTCTCCCAGACCCAAAAAGGGAGTCATGTTTCAAGAACGTTTTTGTGACCCCACAGGAATAAAGAGAATTGAATTTCATAATGTGTGCAGCATAATGCTTATAACTTATAAGGGTTTGTTTGGATATAGGTTTTGGTGTGGTTTGGACGGGATAGCTTTGGAGAGCTTAGTCTACATCTTGCTATAAAAACTGTTTTGACTTTGCCCAACAAATCTCCCCAGAAAACATTCATCTATATAGGTAGGTGTATGTTCTTCACCCAAGAACGGGTGCACGCATATAGACACATTTAGAAGTTGACAAATAAATAGGAAAAACACAAAAGCTTTAGAACTCAATACCATAACATGTGAGAAATGGAGCACGACTATGGGCAAACAAGCTAACCCAGTCAACAGAATGCAGAAGCCTAACAGCAAACCGTCCGAGGGAAGTCTTCCATTCCACCACTGCAGAGCTTCAAATATTGTTTCCCGACAGAACCATACTGATAAGGCAACCACCATAGCATGAGCATAACCTTGCCAAGGTTTCATCTTTGAAGCAGGCCTGGACTTGTCCCTGAAAAATTATAGTAGTTTCAGAAACTTAAAAAGAAATAGAACTTATGAAGAGTGTAGGGTATGAAAAAAAAGTAGAGTGGAAGAAAAATCAGTTACGAGAGTACTTGTAAAGAAGCAGCGGAGGAGTGACAGCAAGTGAAAGAACAGCTGATGACCACAAAACCGTCCTCGATGCAATGAAAAGCATGGACAACTTTGAGGAATAAAGACATGTTAGAACCCAGGCAGCCTTCGATCCAATTCGATTGTCCACAAATAGCCTCCTTACAACGGCTAAACCCACGAAAGTAGTCATGACCACCATATAACTTGGATAGATCACATCATTCTCCATCCCGTAGTAGTATGTGTTGGAGTAACTGAAAAATCGATTTTCTATGTAGCATAGAAGCAATGCATGACTGATCAAACCAAGATCAGTAAACAGTCGAAATTTTGGCGGGAGGATGGCTAGACCAGGAACAGTCATGGCCAGGATAACACAAGCAACAATAAGCTTGCAAAAGGACTTTAATGACATGCCAGCCAGCCATATATTTAGACCCCAGTAATTGTGCATCACAAACCATGTGAGCATCAGACTCCCAAGTGCAACAAATGCAAAGTATGATGAGGCACTCTTTTTTGTAAAAAACCGAGCCAAAAAGAAACCAGCAATTGACGGGAATGGAATAAACTGCAAAACAAAAAAAAGAAGAAATGCCGAATTTCAACCACTGAAATAGACAGATCATCTGGAAAAAATGAGATGTGCACCAATGGAGAATATATATATGACTCATAAGTCAAAACAGTATGGAACTTGAGAAGCATCAGACATTTAAGATGAATCAACAAGTGTATGCACTGCATGTAGTCACATTCTTTTGTAATTGCTCAAATAACTTTATTCGGATTGACAAATTTGAAAGATGACTCATTTCCAATGATTTCATAGCATTATCCTCTGTATTTTGAATTTCATATTTTCAATAACTGCGCAATGAACCAGGTATAATAGGGGTCAGAATGTCAGATAGCCCTTCTAACTTGGTTGACTGAATGACTGTAACACTTGTGAAGTAAAAACACTAAAGAATATATATTTTCAAAGGCAGAAAGTGATCTATCTACTCATATTTACTACTCCCTCCGTCCCAATGTATTTATCCACTTTTCCTTTTTAAGTTGTCTCATTGTATTCGTCCACTTGCCCTTTAAAGTAACACTCAACTTTATTTTAGATGTCTATTTGACTCTTTTGCCCCCTTTCTATTTTCAATTTTATTCCTTCCAACTCTTATCCAAAAATTAAATGGTATAATAGTATGTTTATACTATTTGCTCTCCCTCTTTGGTCCATGTGCAAAAAGCAATGTGGAAAAACACATTGATACGGAGGGAGTACATACCTATGGTTTGGGATTTACATGTTCACATTAATTTCAAAAGTAGCTAAACAACATTTACCCAATACTCAGTGCAGTATTGATTCATTGATAGTAATGAGAAGGAAGATAAAATTTCTAGGACCAAAAAGCATGTATTGTGCGTCAAACAAGTTTTTAGCATTACCAATCAAGGAACAACTTGAAAGCTGAATTTTGGAAATCAAACTAACGGAACATTTTCATCATTAAAAATAAGTTACAAAAAAACAAAAAGCACCACATACTTACAAGTATACGGAGCATATTAATCAATAAAATCTCATTACGATAAGTTACGGAACATAAAATGCATACCAGTACAGGAAATCCTATTACAATAGCTCCAGCAGCGCTAACTACAACAGCCACAGTGGTGAATGCTAGTGAGGTAAACGCATCAGATATCATCCCAAGAACATAAGAAGCAGCAGCAGCTGCCCCTCCAAGCATTGTAATTGTAACGAGCATGTAATTTAATGGGGGTGGCACCTGAATATATCGCCCAAAAGAATGGAAAACGACTCTAGCCTCCAGGCAAATTATGACAACGATTAAAGCAATAGAACCATTCACCAGCCTAATTCTCTGCACCTGGTGCTCGTTCTTGGTGACCCACCACAGTGCCCCAGTTGTGGATGCATATAGTTGAAACAAAAGAGGGATGAAGAAAAGAAGAAACAGGTCGCATACATAATCACTAGAGGAGAACAAAACTGAATAATGTGACCCAATATGAAACATGAGAGGGAGAAACAAAAGGTTCAAGGTGTGCAAACAACTCTCCAGCTGACCAAGGATTAGATTGTCACTTGGAATCTCTCCGCCATGGTAATTCACTTCTTGCTTCATCTTAAATGACGATACTCGGGGAATTGAGAAAAGCCAATAGAATATGCAATTAAATACCATCAGATAATAAGCCGCATTGAGCATACCAACTGCAGAGACTGTCGCCCATGTAAACATCGTGGAAGCTATTACAGGAATACAGGCAAACAAAAGCCGCTCAAGAGCCATCACAATGGTGGGGTTTTCAATTTGAATCCACTTGAATTGCAAGGAAGCCCAAATTCCGATTAGAAAATTGACTAGAGAACAAACAAAAGTGGCAAGAAGGCCGAGAGCTACTGAATTGAATGTGACAAAGAGGGAGGAGCTGAAGAAGAATGCAACCTGAGCTGCGATGAGGGAGAACCAAACTGCGAAAAAGGAACCCGACTTCACATTGAGAGAATCCAGGATGTATGCTAACATCAGTCCAACAGTAAGCGTGGCGACCACCGGAATGCCGCCGAGGTCAATGAGGAAGGCGGCACAAGGGACAAGCGCAACCGCAATTCTGGCGTTGTGCGCGAAGGAAGAGGGAGAGAACCTGGAGTTCTTCATCGATCTAGTAGAAGACCTGCCGCCGAGGCCGTAGAACGAAGAATCGGGGCCGAGACTAGGGTTTCGGTTGGGGCTGTTGTAAGCGTCGCCCGAAGTGGTGGAGAAACTGGGAGCGCTAATTGATGAGGAAATGTAGGGACGGATCGTCCGCGCCTGGAGCTCCGGCGGAAACATCTTCGCCGGAATATGGACGGGAATTGCGACGAAGCTATGCTTTTCGGCGTGGAGCAGCTGTAGCTTTAGGCGGCTGCCGGCGGGATGAGGTGTGATGATCTGCGTGCGTTACCAGTGAGGTGGGTGGGTGGGGTGGCCCTCACAAAAACTTACCATGTGAGTGATAGAAAAAATGACAAAGAAATTAAAATTTTAATGTTGATACTAAAAAGAATTTTTTTTAAAAAATCAATGTGACCAATTACTCCGCAGTATTTCCTCCTTTTGAAAATGTTTTTTTTCTATATTTACTTTATTGTTTTATTTTTACTACTGATTTTATATTTAATCCGTCTCAGGAAAAGTTTTACTTTGACTTGACACAAATTTTAAGTGAAGTGATGCAAATAAGAAATAAGCTGTGAGCTATTAAAAGTTATCCCAAAAATTGATTTTTTAGGATGTCTCAAAGAATTAATAAAATTTATTTTTGAATTTTATAATTATATTTAAATAAATTGAAATCAAAATAATTTTAGTAAACTTTCATGATTCGAAATAGAAACAGTGATCTAATAAAATCATGCAACAACTAGGTCTAGAAAGGTGTGTATAAGCACACTATGCTCCTACTAAGAAAAATGATATTGTTTCCAAGAAATCTCACCTCAAGCAACACAGAAATCATAAAACATGACAAAAAATAAAAAAACAAACTAAGGGTAAGAATAGATCGATGTCACAAAAGATCAAAAGAATGTAAGAAGACCACCCAAGTCTAAACAACTACATTATTCACCAATATCGAGTAACTAATCAAATGCTTACTCTATCTGTAGTTAAAATCATATTTCAGCTTTCTTTAATAAGGGGGTGTTTGTTTTTTCTACAGGAAAAGGTCTGCAGTCTGCGGACCACTACTGTAGACATTTGCAGGAGAAGTGGTGGACCGAAAGTCTGCGGTCTGCAAGAAGAAGACTGTTTGTTTTTTAATGTCTGTAGACTGTCATATAAATTAATGGTGGTAGTGTACGGTGGTGGTGTATGGACGATTGTGGTGGTGGTGGAGGGTGGTGGTGGACGTTGACGGCGGCGGTGGTGGACGGTGGTGGTGGTGGCGGCGGTGGGTGGTGGCGGTGGTGGTGGACGACGATGGTGATGGACAGTGACGATGACGGTGGACGGTGGTGGACGGTGGGCACCAACTCAGATACATTGTAGTTGGTCGTTTTAACGGCCGACAAATGGTAGGGGCTATCGTTGGAGCTTGAAAACGGGGTATAGTCATTTGCCACTCTTTCGTTCTAAAAACTAGTGGAGTTTGCAAATTTATCGACATCATCGAGATCAAATTGCTCGAAGGGGAAGTTGTTACAAATAAGAAAAAATTCAAGAGAATCTGTTCCATTCAACTTATTTTTCCTAGTTTATTAATAATTTTTATTAAAATTAGATCAGATCGGAAACAACATTAAATATAACTACAATCAGATCATATCAAATCAGGCTACACCAGATCTTCAAAAAACAAAATCGGATCAGGAAAACGGAATGCATCCGAAGTCACTTTGAATCATAGTATCTCCGTCCCTGAGTATTTGTTCGATTTTACTCTTAAGAGTAAACTATTTTTGACCCTTGACTTAAAATTGAATTTATAAAGTACATTGATTAGACAAAATAATATTTTGAAAAATATTATATAAAATAAATATAATAGCTGGAGTAATATTTTTTTATATCAACAAGGAGTATAAAATATCAATTTTAGTTAGTTAATAATTAAAAACTTATAAATTTTAATTATAAAAAGTCAAAACTAGATAAATAAATAATACCGAGTCGGTATTTAACTTTAAAATTAAGGAGTATATTTTTTCTTATATTCTCACCCCAACAACGAGTTGACTCTGTGGTTAGCTTAACCACACTGCGAGTATTTCTAGACTGTTCCCAAGCAAGGCCCCTCGCCGATCGTTGCAGATCATCTCTCCCTATCTGGTACTCTCTCTCTCTCTCTCTCTCTCTCTCTCTATGTTTACTTTTGCAAGTTTGGGTTTAGAAATGAACGTCAATGTGCTATTATTTCTTGTTAGTTCAGGAAGATTATCATCTGGTATTTCATTGATTCGTAACATTCCTCAGATTGTTGCTGTGGCGCCTGTGCAAGTAATAGATTTGTAATAGGACTAGGTCTTGATCCGATCGTTATTTTTGATAACATTGCGTAACTATGGCGTTTGGATTTCAAGTTTCGGTGTGCTAGTCACTAGTCAGCTAGTGTTTTATAGTGTTCGTTGTTCCATTGGATTCACTTGAGCTTTTTCACATACTTCCTCCGTCCCCTCGAGTTTTTACATCTTGATTAGACAAGGAGATTAAGAAATTGGAAGAGTGTTTGATGGAGGTGCGTGAAGGAGAAAAAAACATATGAACCATAAATTTCTTCTTATATGAAATTGGAATGCTCTCTTCATCCTAAAATGAACGTCATGGTTTGATTTTACAGAGCTTAAGGAAGGTGTTTGTTAGAATAAAGTGCTATAGTAAACAGCCCAAAGGGCCCATCACAGCCCCTCTAGTCGGAGTTGGATTTAAGAAATGACAAGATCAAATCTATGGAAGGTAGAATACTAATCTAGCCTATATTTACAACCCAGCAGCACAACGATGTAGCTTGCTCTTTATTCTCTCCCAAAAGTCCGATCCCCTCTTTCGGCGGTGGAGTGGGGTACTTTTAGGCTCTCGTACGACATGGGGACGAGATGCCTTCCTCTAATTTGGTTTCTACATCGAGGAATGTTTCAGACACTGGTGATTGTTGGGGTAAGGAATGGGCTGTGGGCAGGTGTCCTCTCCGAGTTGGACGATGTGAAACTCATTTTCAACCCTTTTTATCCTTGCTTGTCGGCCAACTCTTCCTCTTTGCCCAAGTAGTATGATTGGTCGACCGCTTACTTGCTTAGCAGTGTTGGGCTAAGCCTGTAATTTGCCAAGTATGGATCAACACCCTGGGTCTGGCGCCATTTTGTATCGACCTGACACATGACCAATCCCTTTCTGGACCAGTACCTCTCTTGTTCTGGTATTTTTGTGGACTTCTATATCCTTTGTATGTTGTTGCATCTCCTTTGGGCTGACTCTCTTTGGGCCGCCTCTCTTTGGGCCAAGAATGCATTGGACCTTTTACCCCAACATTGTTGGAAACAAAAAAGTGTTTAGTGTTAATTTGTTTAGAAGAAATAGAAATGATGTGAGCCACACACCCTTTCCATGAAAGGAAATAAAGAAAGTGTGAAGTTTATTTTAGGGCGAACATAAAAGGAAAATGTGAAGTTTATTTTGGGGCAAGGGGTATATTTTAGGACGAGTGAAAAACGAAAAGTGGAAAATGCCAACAGGACAAAGGTAGTAATTAAATTATTAATGAAATGTAAATGTTTTTATAAGCCTGGCCAGTTATTGTTCTTAATTTTTTAAACGTGTCATCTCAGATGCCCATAAAAGTTTGTGTATGCATATAATTTTTCAACAAATTTTTGAATACTCATTACATCCTGTCACGTTCACTTATCATGGTATAATTGGTATTATTTAACTACCCTTTTAATCATCATTGGGTGGAATTTTTTCATTGTCAGAAATATGGCTGAAGCTGCTGCACCTGTTGTTGCAAGTGATGAGTTGTTGGAGTGGGCAAAGAAGGATAAACGCAGGTTTCTCCATGTTGTGTATCGTGTCGGTGACCTTGATCGCACCATCAAGTATGCATTCTAGAGCAAACAACATGCCTTCCATAATTTCCATTATAAGCTACTGTGTGTAATTGTGTATATATGTGTGCTACCATTTTGCTGCTTATTGGAATTAGTGAATCACATAAATGCATCTTTAGGTTTTACACGGAGTGTTTTGGGATGAAGTTATTGAGAAAGAGAGACGTTCCTGAGGAGAAATATGCAAATGCTTTTCTTGGGTTTGGCTCTGAAGATTCTCACTTTGTTGTGGAATTGACATACAGTATGTTCTGGTTTTTTTCCTCCCTATGAATGTTACAGAGTATATTGTTTATGTTCTTAATAATAGAAGCATCATTGCTCCACCTTATGAAATACTGATTGCATCACAAAGTCAATCATCTTTGCCACAAGTCCCACAACCATCTACCCGTCACTCTCACTCCAGACTTAAAGTCCTTGTTTGGTTGGAAGATTTCAATGTGGTGGGAAGGGGACAGGTGATATGATATTTCATTTTTTAATGGCCTGTTTGGGAACTTAACTTTGGATTTCAAATTCAGCTTTGACCCAAATTACATGTTTGGATTTAGGCCAAATTTCTCTAATCCGCAACAAAGACCAAATACAAATTCATACCCCCCCCTTGTAATTTGAGTTCCCGACCCCAAACTTTGGGTTGGTATGTCAACCTCTACGAACTTGTTTGTTGACTTGGGTATGCTTGTTTTATTTTTTGTATTCTTAGCACTTGGGTTTCAATACCATTTACATGTCACCCAAAAAAAGTCCCGACCCCAAATTTTAGATATGAAATCCAATAATTCAAATGAATTCTTAGTAAACAAAAAAGAAAAGCATGATTTAACTAACTATATTCTACGTTGTCATTTCTTATTTAAGACTAACACGTACAGATAAGTTAGTATTTAGTAAAAGTTGTAAAACAAATATTTTTCCTCCAGGCATCTCTCTCCCTTCCATAAACCCCCAACCAAACCTTAGTTTACAGTAGTGAGGTATTACAAGGGGGCCGTGAATTTTTTATTAAGTGCATGATAGGATTGCAACTAGGGGGAAAATGTTTGGCCGGGAATTCCCTCAAAATAAATGTTTAATGTCCTAACCTACCTTAAAGAAATAAAGAATGTGTGTCCAGTGAATTACTAATGTTATACTCATTAATTACGGAGTACATCAAAATTAGTAGGGCACTTATGTAGTACACTATAATTGTTTCATAAACCGTTGTTCAGATTATGGAGTTGACAAGTATGATATCGGGACGGGCTTTGGACACTTTGCTATTGCAACTCAAGATGTAAGTCGTTTTCTAAACCTAAGTGTGAAAATGCTCTGTATTCATCTGAACCTTTTTTTTCTTTCTTAACTATATGTTTTTTTAAATATACTTTAAGGTATACAAATTGGTTGAAGACATCAAGTCTAAGGGTGGAACTATCACTCGCGAACCTGGTCCTGTCAAAGGTGGATCAACTGTTATTGCTTTCGCGAAAGATCCAGATGGCTACCTCTTTGAGCTTATTCAGCGAGGTTCTACTCCAGAACCACTCTGTCAAGTAATGCTCCGTGTGGGTGACCTGGAACGCTCTATCAAGTTCTATGAAAAGGTGAATTTATTCACTCCTTTTTGCCTGTCACATTTTTCTTAATTTAGGGGCCACTACCCTATGTCCAAAAAAAAGTGGAACAGATGGAGTATTTATTTATTTATGATTTATGAAACATTTGCTTTATTTCCAACCTCCACAAGGGTATGCTTGGATCCCATAAATAGAGAAATAAAAAAAAACCTAAGGAAAGTCCATTTCTCATGTTTGGTTTTACCTTGGAAAATGCAGATGAAAATGAAATACTACTACTTGAAGTTCAAGTTTATATTTCTTTTTATACCAAACCAAATAACCCCAATAAATCCCACTCAAGAGCTTGCATCTACCCCAAGGAGTAACATATTTCTTTTCATAATAGTTATGATTAAAGATGTGAGTATCAAGTACGGGGTATCAAGTAATATCCAACATAAATTTGTTGAGTTTTAGTCTTTCTTTTACTCTTTCATACGGGGTATACTCTTTCCTTCCAATTTTCACTTATGTTTTCATTTTTATCTTTCCCTAGTTTTTACCACAACCCAAACACACCCTAAGAGATTCGGATATAACACTTTCGCGTTTCTATTCCATTCTGGATCTGTGTAGTAGTTGGGCTGGTTCACCTGTTAAATAATGCCTGCTCTTAAAATGTACAAAAAAATGCAAATATATTTGGTTTTGTGATGCAGGCTTTGGGAATGCAACTTCTGAAGAAAACTGATAGGCCAGAACAGAAGGTAATTATGTTAGTTACTTTCTCCATTACAATTCAGAACTTGTGTAGCAATATATGAAATTATGAATACCATTGCTTAAAATATCGCTTGTTTAAAATTTAAATCATTACACAGTATACCATAGCGATGATGGGATATGCTCCAGAATATGAGACTACAGTTCTGGAATTGACTTACAATTACGGCGTTACTGAATACACCAAAGGAAATGCCTATGCACAGGTCTGTTTCCCTACATCATCATCACTAGCACGTCTCTGGCATGAAATTCATAGTGTAAATTTATTTAAGTTGGCATTATACCATAGATTTCATGGAAAAAATATAGTGGCAAGTTTTGGGTGAGATGCCCTTTCTATCTCAATCTCATTACAAAGATGAAATTGGTAAGTTGTAACCAGTACTATCTTAGGTTGTCTGTACTTACATGGAAAATATTATGACGCCATGAATTGAAACACACCAATGACAGTATGACACCACCCNGTCCCTAACCAAGAGACATGTCTCACACTTTTTGTGTCCCACAAAGAGTCCACTTATCCATGTGGTAATAAAAGTATCGCACAAAGAGTCCAAGACACATGTCTCACACTTTCGATCCCCGTATTTCAAAATTTCCAGATTACTCTTTATATTTGTGGCGTAATAAAAGTTTCATGATTTATAAAGGTTGCCATAAGCACAGATGATGTGTACAAAAGTGCAGAGGTTGTTAACCTTGTGACTCAAGAGCTTGGCGGGAAGATCACTCGACAACCTGGTCCCATTCCAGGGATCAATACCAAAATCACTTCTTTCCTTGACCCCGATGGTTGGAAGACGGTCAGTTCTCTATTTCACTTACTATACTCTTGATAATGTTAAAAATATTTTGGTATCAGATAAAAATTTGAAAAACAAATCTACATTTTGTTAGTTTTTTTTCCAGAAAAAAGTTAATGAGATTTGCCGAGATCACCAAGTGTAAGATAATTGTTTTTCAATATTGGGCATGAGCATATTGATATGCAATATACTCACATTTCTACTCTAAGATTCTAGAGAAGTTTCATAAACCCCACATCGACATCAAAATATGTATACTTCGACGGAATTTTTTTAAAGTAGCGGGATATTTTCATCATTTCTTATGAACATATTAGGCAAGGCATCATCATTTACTGGCAAAAGATATAAGTGGTGTATATATCTTTCGTGAAAGTTATCTCTCTATTCTATTTTGAGATGGATGAGGTTTTTGTGTTTTTGGCCATGTCCATTTCTGCAACAGGTTCTGGTTGACAATGAGGATTTTCTGAAGGAGCTGCATTAATAATTCTCTTCAGCAGTCTCATAGTACGAATCTCTTCTTCTTAATCACAATAAAAGAGCATATATGAGTCACTTTTCTGCTCTTGTACTGCAATATTCTCTGTATGTAATTTACAAGACATAATATTTGAGCTTTTTAAAGTTCTCTGTGTAATACTATAATACCCCCCTATACTAAATCTTAGAGTGCAAACACATACTACCCCTATCTCAAAATATTCCTTTATTCAAAGAACTTTGATTAGCAATCAAATAAAAATTACAATGCATATTACTACCAAAATGAATCTATTAGATTTACATGGTAAAATACTTTCAAAAATTTATATCATTGTATTAAGTAATATGCAGTGTAATTTATTTTTGTTTGATTGGTGATCAAAGTTTGTAGTATGGTACAAAGGAAAGTGAATGAAGTTTGGGTTTGAAAATAGTAAATAAATAGTTAAATTTGGGATGGAGCAAAATAAAAAATGTGTTTCCATCCCGTGATAATAGAGGGAGATGATTGTAAGAGAGAGTATGTGCTCAAATCATATGAGAAACAATTTCATTTCTCAAAGTTTTTTTTAAAAAAATAATTTAAGTCTTTTTTCTTTTTACTCTAGTTATCCAAAGTTATCATAATACTTCCTCTGTCTTAATTTATATGTTTGTTTTGGTTTACGAAGTTTGATTAAAATTAATTTTAAATCATTTTATATGAAAAATGATATAGAAAACTAAAAATATAAATTGCAAATTAAAATAATACATTAAAAGATCTATAAAATTAGTAGTGACATAACTATTTTATTTTATCAAATTACTATCGAAAAAAGAGAAAAAATGATGTTTGACTATGTGAATAAACATGCAACTTAATATGTGATGGACGGAGTATAAAAATCTGATTTTTTTTAAAAGTGAAATATATCGGATTTTATATCAGATTTTTACTCCCTCCATCACTTTTTGACCGCGAATTACAAGACAACTAAATTTATATAATAAGTAAATATGCTTTGTCTATAATTCATGGTTAAAAAGTGTTACAATTTGACCAAAAAAGTCAAACTGTGATAATCTTTTAGGGACAAAGAAAGTATACGTGGCAAAAAATGACTCGACTTATTTTTTACTCGAAACCCGACCCAAAAGCATTGAGTTTTGAACAAAGGTTCTGAGAAACGAACCCGACCCGCTAAAAATGGGTCAAACCTTACTGAAACCGAATAAATCAAGCCGTATAAATCACATCATTTTTTGGGGAGATTGGGTAGATTATATGGAGTACGTATTATTAATAGTTTTATTATTATTATTTCAGTGCTTAAGAAGTTAGTTTGATTACATAACTTTGGTGTGTGTGTGGTGGGGGGGGGGGGGGGG